TACAAACGAAAACACTCCTCTCAGCAAAACATCCCGACAAGAGGTTTGGCAGAAATAAATTACTTCAACGGTGGGACCCCACATGAGAATCGATTTAATGTGCCCCTCGTTTTTTTCCCATTCGCTCTGCGGAGGCCCTCCTCCCGCCCACTGTTGCGCCTCCTCCTCCTCCTCCTCGTGATTTCGCCCTCCGACTCCTCCTCGCTCCCGAGTCCGACCCGCAGCGCAAGCGATCACCAACTTCGGAGAACGTGCCCCAGCGTCCAAGCCGCTCAAGGTTGCCTCCCATGGGGACGCCACCAAACAGCTGCGAAGGCCCAGAGGACTCCACCAGCACGCCAGACGAGCCCAACGGGCCCAGGACGGCCTCAATGTGACCCTTCGCTGATACACAAAAACCCCAACAACTTCGGCTGTTCCGTGAAACCCCAACCGGCTTTCCGGACGTGGTGCCGCAAAGCGCTGTGGATATTTATGGGTCACTGTTTGATTTGTCGATGCTCCAGAGTAGACCGAGACGCAACATCGATTCCGAGCTTGCCTCGATAAGTAGTCTCTGGACGGATCGGCGCGCGTGGGAGGCTTCGTGGGTACCCTTTTGAGGTCCCAGCCTCGCCACAAAATATGTCTGACAAAACAGGGGAACGAGCTGCAAAGGCCAATAGAAGGCGAGCTGAGCTCGTGCTCGGCACAGATGTTGATATTATCTGCGACGAGCCTTCTCGGCGAGGCCGAACGCATGGCAGTTATGGCCTCGCAAAACAAACCTCCAACTAGAGGAAAGCAAACACGTGAAATGCGAATACTGCCATCAAAAGTTCGGCGCTCGCCCTGACACATCAGACGTGGTTTTATGACCTGAAATGTGGCGATTGAAAATTACTTCTGAATCGCAGCAACCAGCGGCGTGGAGAGCGTGTACCGCTGCGACGGAAGAACACCAAAAAACGAATTCAAAACGACCCTCTTCCCCAACAATGCCGTGAGAACCTTCCACATAGCCCTGGTCTTGGCGGCCCACTGGCGGGAATCAAGGTTTGCCGGCAATCTTCCGCTTGGTGAGAGGCAGTCGATCTCAAGCGTCGAAGAAGCAGCAGCGGCTGATACTCTCTGCCCCCCGCTTCTGCTGTCAGGCAGGCTGGGGGGGGGGTCCTTCCTGATCCGCCCGCTTGCGCTTGAAGTCCTCGATGGCTTCCACGATAGCTGCAAGCCCGATAATCCTTGCGCCGTCCTCCAAGCTCCCCAGGAATTTGGACTTGTACGCCAGGGCCTCGTCAAGATCTGGGCAGTTCTCCAGCATATGCGTAAGGATCGCCGCATTGTTGGAAGACCAGCCTGTTATCATCAGGAGGTTCAGCCGCATGGGGCCCGAAGGCCTGTTGATGTCCAGACCATGCTTTACATAGAGCTCAAATGTAGCAGAGGTGCCTTCTACGAAGAACCAGTAATCATTCGTGAGATTGTAACCTGCTTTCGGAAGCCATGTGTTGCCTGCAAGTCCAGAGTAAAAGCAGGCATTCCCGTCCATGCCAAGCCCGAACGCGAGGCGGAGGATGTCCTTGTTCTCCGCTGCATACATATACCAAGCATGGACAGCGTCAGCACCTGGGCTCCAGCTCATATAGTTGCAGCGTGTGTTGTAGTTCATGAGAAGGCCTGGTTTGTGCTGCAGCGAAATGAGCTTACTGGACCATCTGAAAAAATCACCTCCATGCTCAACGAGAAGCTTAGCACAATCCGCATTGTTCGACCGAACACACTGGATCAGCGGAGCGAAATCCAAATTGTTTGGCGAATTGGGATCAGCACGACTCTCGAGAAGAAGCTTCAGCTTGTCAAAATATCCAGCCTGCGCTGGTCCGGCCAGAATGCTGTTCTCCTGGCCCGTGAGATTCCAAAAAGGTCGCTTCATGGTCATCCCGACTTTGGCGTGGACGTCGGCACGGGCATTGATGAGCAGCTTCATGCACTCCAAGCCTTCATCGCCATTGTCCATGTCTGCAGCCATTGAGAGCGCGGTGCACTTCTCTGCACTCTCGGCGTTCACCGAAGCCCTGTGCATTATGAGGGCGTGCACGACCTCCACCCTGCCGCATGACGCAGCAAGCATTAAAGGAGTTAGGCCTGTTGTAGGATCCGCGAAATTCACGTCCACATCATCAGCAATACTCAACGTCCCATCCCAGGCTTTTTGCAAAGTGCCATACGGCTTGAAACCGGCCAGCTGGTCCAAGGTGCTGTTCATATCCCATGCCTTCACAAAGCCAGGGTCTTCACGCCCGCAAGCCCAGTGCCACCAAGTATTGTGAGTGATCCAGTTCATGAAATCGTAATCATTCCTATGCTCACGTAGGATGCGAACTGCCTGCCACTTCTTGCCCATGCTGGCAAGCGCGAAGAGAGAATGGCCCTCATCAGAGAGTAGGCATGGGTGGACGCCCTTAGAAAGCAATGTGTCTAAGACCTCTAAGTCGGGCAGACTGGCCGCATGCCTCAACAATGTGCCGACGCCATCTAGGCGCCAACAATTGCTGTCAACCAGAGTTGGGACCATGACCCGGGCAAGAAAGAAATTACCATGAAACCACCTCTTGTTGCAGTCCCTGTTATCCCAGACTACATCCGTTTCGTATTCGTCCCAATGGATTGCAGCGATCATATACCCGGAACCGTCTCCCACCCAGGGCCGGTGGTCCATTGGTGTACCATGAATCGCCTTGTCAAGGATAAGATAGCCCAGAGGGTGGCTGCAGCTGAATGAAAGAGCCATGCTCCCTACCTTCAAGAGTGCACGCTCGTCCTCGGCCAAGATCGCGCAGTACTGCTCGAGAACATCTGAGTCCAGCATCTCAAAGACGTGGAACCACACTTGGAGCCACCAGCTCTCGGACAGCCGCTCGCGGTCCAAACACTGCGAACTGCTAGATAGGATGGAGTTTACGTATGCTCGCATTTTCTTCTGAGAATGAGCATGGCAAACGATCGCCGCGCAATACTCACCGCCCATCAGCTCCTGGAATGACAGGTGCGTAAGCTGCACCTCAGGCTCCGCATCGAACACTTCAACTTTCTCTAAGATGGGCATGCGCCCCTGCTGAAACGCATCCTTCAGCACCACGATCATACCATTGTCGTCTGAGGCCTGCTCTATGCCTGTCCAGGAAGTCGAACGCAGCCTCAATTGGTGCAAATGAAACGACACTGACTGGAATAGCTGTCGTGCCCGTACGCTCTTCAACATCTCTAGCCTGCGAACCATCGCTTGGTCATTGGCTCCATCCCGCATTGCGAACTTTGCAGCATCAGATTGATGCAACATGAGCTTCACAGCACGCTGGTAGATATCAGTCTTCTTCATGACATCCTTTCGTGCACGGTCATCTGTCAGTGGAAGACTCTTGCCTTCTGTACTCTGAGAGTGGAACTTCCGAAGAACATGGATGAGCAATGTCAAAATGAGGGGATTCTCCCTGAGGGAGGAATAGCCCGGGTCAGACACACTGCTTCGGATGGCGCTGATCGTCTCATGCGCTTCTTGAGCGCGTGTAAGTGTACGCTGCACAACGTCTTCAGCCTGTGGGAGAGTCAAAGCACCCATCCTGAACGAGACGAAAGCCAGCGACGCGAGCAAGTCATACTCCGAGGGTCCCAAATTACCTGGCCTCGATGTGAGAACACAGATGTGTGAGGGCTCGCTTTGCAGTATCGACCGGATGAATTCCAGCACCTGTAGCCGAGAGGAAGCTGCCTCATCCAGACCATCGAACAACAAAAACAACGCCTTGATGTCTTCTGAATGCTGGGGGTCTCCGATAGCTTTCTCGCGTGTTGCATCTTCTCCTTCCGATGCCGAAAGAACAGATGTCCTCCTGGACGCGCGGTCAGCAGCACCAAGGCACCAATTTCGCACAGTATAGACCAGCTTGTGCGGGATGGAATCGTGGCCATGCTTTCTTTGCATCCACTCGGATAGCAAGTCGCAGATCGGGTCGGCCCCCAGAGGCAGGTCCGGATTAGCCTCAAGCTGCCTAGCCAAGTCGATTAGTGGAGTCCGGACGGGGATGAGGTTCATGCCGCTGATTCTCGTGGTACCCGCCATGTCTCCTGGCTCATCGCGGATGCCGAGCAGCTGTTGCTGTGCCACTTCCGAGAAAAGCTGCTTCGTCATGAGAGTCTTCCCGCTCCCAGAATCGCCAATCACGAATACCCGACCCTGATATCTTTCTTGACTCAGCATTTCTGGTAGATACTGCTGGTGGACCATGCGCAACTTCTCGCAGACAATCTTGACGCTCTTCGGCAGCTGTAGGCTACGCGGGAAAATGCGCCCACTGAACTTCACGTCCACTTTGATACAATGGTCAGTCACGTGTACTTTCTCGCGGGTGAGGAAGTCAGTGGACCACGCCTCCGCTGTCCCAATTTGCGCCAAATACCTAGGAAAGTCAGATTCAAACTCGAAAGAAGCAACCTGCACGTGTGTCGCACTGGTACTCAGTCGGCGGCCTTTCTGGCCCTCCCAGACTGTGCGGTACTGTTCAATCCACTCCAGAGCTGTGGGTCCGACGTCAACGCCAGCTTCCCACATCACTCGCTGAGCGCCTGCAAGGGCAAAGAAAGAAGCACGGGTCTTCTGGTGCATGCTCGGCTCACTGTATGACAGCATTCGCGCCGACCACGAGAAGAAAGCTAAAGCGAATGGAACGCCGTCGTTGTCTGGGACGTCGTCACCAATCTCGTAGATGCAGAGACAATGCCTGATGCGTGTCAGCAGCTCAAGCACAAACGTGGCCGTCGGATCGCTCTTGAGCTGCTCCCCTCCGATTAAAGGCAGCGCTGTTGTGGCATCGGGTGTAGCGAACAGCAGCTTCGCAAACGTTGGATGTGCGACTCGTTCACATTATCCTCCAGATACAAGAAGAGGCAAGACGCAAGGAATTTTGAGAGGTCCATGAGCACGTGGACGTTGTCCTTCACGGTCGCGAAATCTATCAGCCAGACTAGCCCTTGTGAGTCGAGCAGTAGATTCCCGCCGTGCAAATCGTTGTGCGGTCAAACTTTTTATTGAATCGCTGCTCCTGCTCAATGAACTCTTGGAAGAAGCGCTTGATGGTAGAACGTTTGCCGCACAACTCACTGACGAACTTGCCTTCGGGATCTAGGTCATCGATGTCGGGTGGCGTCAGAAACCCGATGCCCAATGCAGCATTGTGTTTGCTACGTTTCGCACCCTCCACAGCTCGATTGAGGATGCCGTGGCCGACAAAGCGGACAATCTTGTACATCTTGGCTAGATTCTCCTTCCTGACGGAACGCGTAGACATCGTGAAGGCAAGCATACGTCGGGTCAGGGCCTCGTTGACGATGGGCACCACATCAGTCTGGCGCTTCCCCGAAGTAAACTCACCCTGGATTACTGACGCAAAGGTGAGCACAGGTGGGGCAGAAGCAAACTCGGGAAGACCAAATATGCCACCGCATAGGTCAATCTGCATGACAGCACATGGTTCGTCTTCGGAGACGTCTTCAAGAAATTGAGAATCCTTAACTTTCGGAGTTGTCAAGCCAAACAACTTCCCGTACCGCTCGGTCAACTCGATCTCCTCCTTCACGTTGGCAGCAACGTCGAATTTCAGCACTGATGACGGCATGGGTGTTCCGTCCTTGCGGCTGGGCGAGAAGAAGAAGACGGACGCGCCACTGAAACTCAAGGAGATTTGCTTGAGCTTGAACCGTGAATGCTGACGAGCCTCCCCGAGGCATAATAAGGCGCGCCTCTGATTTGCGCTCAACTTGTGCACGTCCCCCTGAAGCACAGCCTCCTCGTCTGACGCCTGCTCAGTCTGCGCCTCATTCCCATCTTCATCAGGAACGTTGTAACCCACCAGCGCCGCTTCACCTGCAGCCTTTTGCTCCACGGACTCGCTCCCAAAATCAGCTTTCCAGAAAGTCTGGCAACAATGCACGTGCTTATTCGAGTGGAGCGCAATGCCCCCAGGCCCCTTGTCCGCAACTTCACGTATAAGTACCGGGCCCGTGTACGCTTTCTGGTGAGCTGCAACACGCGCTGCCCTCGCATCAATATCCTTTTTTGGCATGTGGAGACTCATCGCAGAGAGACAAAGAGAGCTGCGAGTTTGACGGGTCGAGAGCTCAATGCCACAGAGACTACGTGCAGCGTTGCAACGCCAAGTGGACCCAAAGAAGGCCTGAACCAGAATGGCCGTGGACATCATCAGTATCATCATTATCACCACCACCACTATCACCAGCATCATCATCATCGTCATCATCGTCATCACCGTCATCATCATCATCATCATCATCATCATCATCATCATCATCATCATCATCATCATCATCATCATCATTCGCCGTCCTCATCATCATCATCACCACCATCATCTCACCACCACCACCACCATCATCCTCCTCAGGGAACGCATCATCATCAGCAGCATCATCATCATAATCACAAACACCGTCACCACCACCACCATCATCATCATCATCATCATCATCATCATCATAATCAGCATCATCAGCATCATCATCATCATCATCATCATCATCATCATCATCATCATCATCATCATTACCATCACAATCACCATGACCATCAGCATCATCATCAAAAACAAAATCACCGTCACCACCACCAAGACCACCACAACCACCACCAAGACAACCATCACCATCACCAACAAAAGCATCATCATCAACATCATCAACAAAAGCATCATCATCAACAACAACAGCAGCATCATCATCGTCATCATCATCAGAATAAGGATCCGCATTATCATCATCGTCACCGTCACCGTCAGCAGCATCATCGTCATCATCATCAGCATCATAAACATCATCATCGGAAGCAGCATCATCATCTTAATCATGACCAGCATCCTCATCAGCATTATCATCGTCATCATCAACAGCATCATAATCATCATCATCATCACCGACATCATCATTATCATCAGGATCAATGTCATCACCATCATCATCGTCGTCATCGTCATCACCATCATCAGCATCGTCATCGTCATCACTATCATCAACATCAACATCATCTGCCTCATCATTATCAGCAGCATCATCAGCATGATCTTCACAATAATCATCATCATCATCACCACCACCATCATCATCGTCATCATCAGCATCAGCATAATCGACATCATCAGCATCATCAGCAGCATCAGCAGCATCATCATCACAACCACCATGATCATCATCATCATAATCCTCATCATCAGCACCATCACCAGCATAATCATCATCACCAGAATCATCATCACCAGAATCATCATCACCATCATCATGGACAACAATATCAAAACAAGAACAACAACAACAACAACAACAACAACATCATCACTGACCGGCCGACCGACTGACCGGGTGACCAGGTGGCCAGCTGAACGGCTGACTGGGTGACCAGCATCACCAGCTGACAGGTTGACTGGCTGACCAGTTGACTTGCTTTCCAGGAGCGCGTTTCTTTCTTTTCGGTGATGACGGGCGGGCGACATGGGGGGAGGGGGGGCGGGGAGGGGTATGACGTAACACTCCTCGCGAGCAGCATGCAGGTGGCGATCTGCCCCACAGCGCCTGTGCATGTGTATACCACAGCGCCTGCGTACACCGCAAAAGCCGTGTGCAACGCAGCGCCTGCGTACACCACGGTGCTTTTGTGCACCACAGCGTCGGTGTACACCACAGCGAGTGTGCACACCGCAGCAGCCATGTGCAACACAGCGCCTGTCTACACCACAATCTTTTTGTGCACCGCAGCGCCTGTTCACACCACATCGCCTGTCCACACCACAGCATCCGCGTGCAACGCAGCGCTGGTGTACACCGCGGCGCCTGCGTGCACAGGACAGGTAAAAGGAACATGGTGGTGATGATCTGCTGCGGACAGCCAAACGCCACGCCAGGGAAGTGCTGAGAATAGCGACGCTTTCCCTCGTCCCTCCTCCACCTCCACATCCTCCTCTTCCTCCTCCTCCTCCTCCTCCTCCTCTTCCTCCTCCTCCTCTTCCTCCTCGTCCCCCTTTTCCTCCTCCCTCACCCTTCCCCCCTGTCGTGCGGGTCGGCGCTACAGCGCACGTGCGCATCTCAGCGTGCACCGCAGAATGGTGGATTGAATCAATCCACTTGCCTCTTGGACGGCCAATTTAGCTGGAGCCTCCTAGACGCAAAATGGGAGGAGTGAGGATGATGCGGGCGGACTCATCATCATCATCATCATCATCATCATCATCATCATCATCATCATCATCATCATCATCATCATCATCAGCATCATCATCATTACCATGACAATCACCATGACCATCAGCATCATCATCACAAACAAAATCACCGTCACCACCACCAAGACCACCACAACCACCACCAAGACAACCATCACCATTACCAACAAAAGCATCATCATCATCAACATCATCAACAAAAGCATCATCATCAACAACAACAGCATCATCATCATCGTCATCATCATCAGAATAAGGATCCACATTATCATCATCGTCACCGTCACCATCAGCAGCATCATCACCATCATCATCACCATCATAAACATCATCATCGGAAGCAGCATCATCATCCTAATCATGACCAGCACCCTCATCAGCATTATCATCGTCATCATCAACAGCATCGTAATCATGATCATCATCATCATCATCATCATCATCATCATCATCATCATCATCATCATCATCATCGACATCATCATTATCATCAGGATCAATGTCATCATCATCGTCGTCATCGTCATCACCATCATCAGCATCGTCATCGTCATCACTATCATCAACATCAACATCATCTACCTCATCATCATCAGCAGCATCATCAGCATGATCTTCACAATAATCATCATCATCACCACCACCATCATCATCGTCATCATCAGCATCAGCATAATCGACATCATCATCAGCAGCATCATCATCACAACCACCATGATCATCATCATCATCATAATCCTCATCATCAGCACCATCAGCAGCATAATCATCATCACCAGAATCATCATCACCAGAATCATCGTCACCATCATCATGGACAACAATATCAAAACAACAACAACAACAACAACAAGAACAACAAGAACAACAAGAACAACAACATCATCACTGACCGGCCGACCGACTGACCGGGTGACCAGGTGTCCAGCTGAACGGCTGACTGGGTGACCAGCATCACCAGCTGACAGGTTGACTGGCTGACCAGTTGACTTGCTTTCCAGGAGCGCGTTTCTTTCTTTTCGGTGATGACGGGCGGGCGACATGGGGGGAGGGGGGGCGGGGAGGGGTATGACGTAACACTCCTCGCGAGCAGCATGCAGGTGGCGATCTGCCCCACAGCGCCTGTGCATGTGTATACCACAGCGCCTGCGTACACCGCAAAAGCCGTGTGCAACGCAGCGCCTGCGTACACCACGGTGCTTTTGTGCACCACAGCGTCGGTGTACACCACAGCGAGTGTGCACACCGCAGCAGCCATGTGCAACACAGCGCCTGTCTACACCACAATCTTTTTGTGCACCGCAGCGCCTGTTCACACCACATCGCCTGTCCACACCACAGCATCCGCGTGCAACGCAGCGCTGGTGTACACCACGGCGCCTGCGTGCACAGGACAGGTAAAAGGAACATGGTGGTGATGATCTGCTGCGGACAGCTAAACGCCACGCCAGGGAAGTGCTGAGAATACCGACGTTTTCCCTCGTCCCTCCTCCACCTCCACATCCTCCTCTTCCTCCTCCTCCTCCTCCTCCTCCTCCTCCTCCTCCTCCTCCTCCACCTCTTCCTCCTTGTTCCCCTTTTCCTCCTCCCTCACCCTTCCCCCCTGTCGTGCGGGTCGGCGCTACAGCGCACGTGCGCATCTCAGCGTGCACCGCAGAATGGTCGATTGAATCAATCCACTTGCCTCTTGGACGGCCAATTTAGCTGGAGCCTCCTAGACGCAAAATGGGAGGAGTTAGGATGATGCGGGCGGATTCCGGAGGACTCATTGATTCCAGCGGCGCTCCTGTTCCCTGAGGGATTCTTTTCCAAATTTTGTATATATATATATATAAACAAAAAATGTTAAATTCACAAGCGCCCCATGTTGTCATAAGGATTACTTATGTAAAAAATGTATCTGCAACAGCGGTGTTCTGTTGCACACAGTTGCTGAAATGCACACAGTCGGCGTGGTGCACACAGGCGCTGTAGTGCGCGCAGGAACTGTGATACACTGGTACTGTGTTGCACACGGCTGATGTGGTGTACGCAAGCGCTGTGGTGTACACAAGCGCTGTGGTGCCCGCAGGCACTGTGTCACGTCCTCGGTCATTCTTGGACATTCCCAGATCGGGGAGACGTAAGACCCGGGTACGGGGGACTCGGAAATCCCCCACGAGGTCGTCAAAAAAATGACGAGGCCGAGCCTGCATTTTGACGAGGCCTCCCGCTGCAGACATCCCACAAAACTCCTCCTCGTCAAAATCCGAGTCGCGGTCGTCAAAAAACGATGGCGAACCCGAGTCCCGGCAAACCCGGGTCTTACGCTCCCCCGACCAGACGCCGCCGGCGCGAAATATGACGTGATCGGCCCCGTCCCCCACACCCCCAGATGATTGCCGCCATCGGCCTGGGATCACAGAACAGGCTCCAGCCGCGCCCGCCCGCCGACGACGATGAGCGACGAGCGACGAACGACAAGCGAAAACGACGACGACGATGACGACGACGACGACGACAACGACGACGACTGCGGACCAAATTCCGATGCGGATTCCTATGCGGACACCTATGTGGATCTCGATGCGCACGGCGGCAAACCGGCTGACCAGTTGACCAGCTAACCTGCTGACAAGCTGACTGGCTGACCTGTTGACTGGCTGACCGGCTGACCGGGTGGCCCGCTGACCGGATGACCGGGTGGCCCGCTGACCGGTGACTGGCGAGATGAACTCGCGGGCGCGCATGGGGCGATCCCGCCCCCTCCTCCTTGCAACCGGGGCACTCCCAGTGGATCGGGGCGATGTGAGGATAGAGGATAGTGGCACGTTGCCTGATCGAGGAGCATATGCCCACGTGTTGCGCTTGCACGCCTTGCATGTGTAGCGCGCTCTCGGCTGCCACTCCACGTCTGATTTCGACCCCCGTGGCTCGAGAGGCCACTGTTGGCAAGGCTACTGACGGACGTCGCACTCACAAGCACAGATCGCGGGGTGCGGGGGCCTCAGACGGCGGCGTGAATTCACGACGCCCTGGACGAGTCGTCCGGCCATCTTCCATGGCCAGATTGGGGCGTCGAAGCTATCGCGGCCCTCGACGTGGACGTGGGAGCGTTTGCCTGGGCATCTGAAGTTCGCAAACTGCTCGAGGATGACCGGAGCTTCGGAGACCAGCCCGATGGTTTTCATCAAGATGCCCCCGCGACGATCTCGAAGACCAAACTGACATCTGGGCAAAGATGACCACGTCCGCGCCTCGGGCTACCAGCACCTCTGGCAATGGCGACCCGTCGTGCAGTTACGATGGCCCAGGCTGCTCGTTGACGACGCAGCCGCCTAACTCAAGCTGCAGCAGCGCAAGGCATCCGCAGAATAGGCGAGGCGTGGCCGCGCCCTCGTAGAAGCGCAGTCAGGCGCGGCAGTTCTGCTCGCAGTTGAAGTGGGCCCATTGGCCGAAGGGGCTGCAGGCTGGAGCCATGATGGCTACTAGTGACCGACGTTGTCTATCATATATGTCCACGGCCCGCCGCTGGCACTCGCAGCTAAGGTCACAGCCAGTGACCAAGTCGAAGTTCCTGCCAGCTCTACGGCGGCGGCGGACTACCAGTCTGCTAGTTCGCGCCTTTCCACCACAAGTCTCGACGATGTCGACACCGTGGTCGACAGCTGCGAGGTGGGCGGGGAGCTGGCGAGCGGCGTGGACTTCGGTGGACTGCGGCGTTCGAACACCAGCCGTTCGGGGGTCAGCCTCTGGCACCAGGGCCGGCGAGCCTCGGAAACACCACGTGGGCAAACCTGCGGCAAGGTTGCCACGGTGGCCGCCCTCGTCGCACATGCCCACGCAGCCTGGATCGCCCAAGGCTGGATGGCCGAGAGGACACGGGGCTAACCCAGCGGGGTCGGCGCCGCATTCGCCGCAGCGTCCTCGGCGACCTGATCGCGCGCCTTGTGCACATGGCCCTCCTTTATCCTCTTCTTTTGGCGCGCGCGCTCTGCCGTCGGGCAGGCGCCGGCGACGCATTCGCCAGACCCCCCCCGTGACCGGTCGTGCTTGAGGACCTGGGTGTCTTAGGTTTTTGAGCGCACGCGGCCCAGGGTGCGCCGCTGGGCATCGTGCTTGCGGTCTGCCACGGGATTGGAATACGTGTTCGAGTCTGGCGAGCAAGCTGCCGTCGCGCCTCGTTGAAAGCGCGCACTCCCCGGCGCGCATCTGCTAGGCGCATCGCAATTGCAGCGAGGTGAAGTCGAAACAGTCCGCGGCAAATCAGGGCCGCAAACACTCGTCGGTGGACGATCGCCGCGTCGTCGACGAGCTCCACCAGACTGACGTTGCATCGGCGCAGCTGGCAGCAGATTGGCGCCCCGGCGAGCACAATAATACAACGCTGGCGCGTTTGACCTCTGGGGCCAACGGCTCGCGACAAGCCCGACGCTGGCCCGCGACGGAACAAGCGGGCGTCGATCATCCGCCGCGCCACTTGTCGTCTCCAGGGTTGGCCACGCTGGCCAAAGCCCTAGACCCTGGCGCACTCGTTAGGGAGAAGGAGTCGAGGATGAGACGAGCCTCGCCCCTGAATGCTTCGCGCGCAACCCACCGCATGCAGCAGTCGGCGTCGGGGAACGCGCTGTCGAACAACGGATTTCTGGCCCCCTCGAAGTCCGCGGCGCGGAAGGCGTCGAAGCCGCGGTCTCGCCGCGCTAGCGACGCGCCCCGCTCTCGTTCTAGGGCCCAGGCGGGGCGCCCAGGTCGCGCCGCCCACCCCTGCCAGGGCAAGTCGGCGGGGTCAGCCTGGAGGGCCGGCCGGGCCACTTCCCGGCGAGGCAGCCCCTTGGGGAAATCGTCGCCACAGGCACCGAGAGACCCCGCCTAACTGGCCACCGGGTAGATCGGCGCTCGCCAGGTAGAACGGCGACTCGCTCCCTGAACTCGCGCACGCGCCCGACGAAGTCCGCCACCACGGGGGCGTTGGTCTGCGCGTCGGCAAGCGCGCGTCCAGGCGGTCGCCCCAGGGCACCGCTTGCAGTCGCGCTGCGGCAGGGAGATATGTTTTTCTTGAAAACCCGAAAATGGTTTTTCAATAGGCCTTCAAATATGATTTCGAAAAAAATATATAGGCTTCAAATACAATTCAAATAGGTCAAACATTTTTTCCCAGGGGGGCGTCGTAGTTCATCAGCCCACATTTTAGCTTTGATAAGAATCATATCTCTCTGGCACACTAAACTTGATAGTTGCGATGGCATCTCGAGGGTCTCTTCGGGGTCCTCGCGGAAGCCCTCTAGGGGCACGTGGAGAATCTCTGTGGCCACCCTAGCGCAGCCGTCGGCGGCCTCCTTGGGGCCGTGTTGGGCCGTCTTGAAGGCCATTCTGGTTGTGTCCGAACCCACGCCCCCGCTCCGCGGCAAAACCTGGGGGGGCCCTGGGGGGGCGGGAAATGTCGTTACTGGCGCAGCGCGCCTTCGGAACAGCAGAATGCCTAAAGCATGTAGGGCACGCACTCACAATGCCACGACCCCTCATAGAGCACGCTGGATCCGCACCCCCGTCGCCACGACCCCTTGTAAATTGCACAGGATCCGCACTTCCAAGGCCACGCCCCTGCGCATATTAGAACGAACCCTTGAGATTGCTAGCAACACCGAGTTTCATCAGGCATCCTACCGAACCACGTTTGGGGAGACAACGACACCCCAAGAAACACGCACCATACATGTTCTGGACGCGTGTGCTCTGATACGCTACAATAAGTATCCTTCGTATTCCTCTCCCCCCCGCTCCTCCCCACCCCCTCGCCCCCCCCCCCCCCCCCCCCCCCCCCCCCTTCTTCATCGTACCCTTCTTCCCTCGACTTCCAACTCCTCCTCGTTCTCCTCGTCTCCTCATCCTTCTCTTCTGGTTGTCCTCCTCCTCCCCGTCCTCCTGGTGGTCCCTCTTCTACTCGTCCGTCCTCCTCCTCCCCCCCTCCTCGTCATCCCTCTCTTCCCGGCTATCCCCCCCCCCCCTCCTCGCCCCCCGGGGGGGGGGGGGGGGCAGGGGGGGGGGGGGGGGGGGCAAAGGAAAGGGGCGCAGGGAGGGGGGGGGGAAGGGAAACTGAAGGGAGGGGAGGGAGAGGAAGGGGGAAGGAATGAGGGGGGACCGAGAGGACAGATCCAAAAGAAAGGACAGGCGAGACGGCCGTAGCGATGGCGATGTTGGTGATGATGATGATGATTGCGTCCTAGATGTTCGGTTATTGTTTTGTGTAGTGTCGGTGGCTTGTTTGCTTGATGGTTGTTTGATGTGCGTTTGATGTTTGTGTGATTGTTGGTGTGGTTTTTCTTCAGCCTGAGTTCGACAGGCGAGACGCACGACCGAGCTACATTTGTCAAGCCATCGCCAGTGCGAGAGCAGTCACGTGCAACCTGATATCTGATATCATCTATGTTTCTCACTCCTGTACACCATATATCACATGAAATTCTGCATAGCGATGCCCTTGTCCATGGCGAGCTGCACTGGCTCGAACAGTTTTTCCACACCCCAACTCTGCCTGTTCTTTTCCACAGTCGTGAGATATTTCTTGAGCACAACAGCGTTGCCTTTGATTTCGCTCGCTCCGTAGACAACGGCGTACTCGAGCACCGTCGTCGCAGCACGCTGCAACCTTGCCAAGGCGAGGTCCACCTCGGCGCTGTTAGTCACGTAGATGTTGAACTATGCAATGAGAGTGCCGAGTTCGTCATTCAGCTGCATGTGCGCTTCGACTTCAGCCTTGAGGGGGTCGCGGGGCATGCCCTTGAGGAAGTCACCCGCAATGTCAAGCAAGGCGTCGAATGCAATCGAAGGGCTGACCCCGTCGCGCCAGTCTCTGTCCAATAAACCACCCTTGAGCTTGCTCAGCAGTACGCTCGCGCTCTCAGACAGGAGCATCGCCTCCAGCGCAGCCCGTTTCGCGCCGGAGAGTTTGCGCGAGGGCCGCCGACTCTGCCGCCAGCGCCCCCATGAACGCACCATTCACTACAGCTGCATCGCCCTCGGGGGGCGCCTCTTTCAATGCCTCGCACTGCGTGAGCAGGCCCAAGAAAGCATCAACTGAGTGATCGGGGGCAGCGGCGGCGTCGGCGTCAGAGAAGTCGCCGCTCGGGTCTCGCGGCACGATGGTCGCCATTGCCCCCACTAAGGTCTTTGCCAACTTCGCTCTGCCAACCAACTGCTCGAAGGACTTGAAACCAGACCCCACGGGAGAGACGCATGACCACTCCAGCCACGCGCTTGCTGTGGAAACCCGCCTGAGCGAAGAATCGAACAGCGGATCACGAGAGACATCGAGAGAGTTGCTCCTCTTCTTCGTGACCCACTCCACCGCCTGTTTCGCGAAAGAAATGAGCTGCTGCATGGGCAGCTCTGGAACTAGATCCCCCGGGCCCTCGGCCTCGTCAAACTGAGACAATCCATAGACGAGGATGTCTAAGTTGAACACTCCAAGCTCACCGCAGAAATGCACGACGAGGTTCTTCCCAGCACTACGAGACCTGCAAGAGTTGATCGCACCCACTGCCTCAGACCAGGCCGAGTGAAAGCCGAAGATGGCAGCCGCCTTCTGCGAGAGAGCCTCTACATTATCACTGAACTCGTCGGTTGCCTCGCGCGGGCCATCATTCACACGAGCACCGATGTGCTCGAAGAAGCGGCCCAGGGCACCGCGCGATACCTGGAAGAAGGAACTGTACTCCACCTCTGGGAGCACCGCTTTGATGATGGGCAGATCCTTCGCGACGCTACTGGGGGTCTTGTAAGTCGGCGGCCCCTCGGACTGCAGGGCTGCCAAATGCTTACTCATGATAGGGCGCCACTTCTTCACCCCGGGAGAGAACTTCAAGTAGTCCTTGAGCTTCACCTCCCAGCACGGCTCATTCGACACGACGGCGTAGACGGCGCCTTCGACCGCAGTGGACTTAGATTTGCCCAGCTGCCCCACTGCCGCCAGGTTTAGCGCATCTTCGGCCTGCTGCCCAAGCGCGCACATCAGCTGCAATACCGCCGCGACCTCAGCAGCAGCGCTATCGACTTCGATCTCGCAGGTCATCGGCATCGCCTTGATTGCGCCCATCGCAGCGGCAACGAACTCCACGGTCCTCTGGCGCCCATCCTTCCCGCGGCGCAAGAAGCGCGAAAGGGTGATCTTGCACAGGTAGCCCTTGAATTTCGCAGCCTTCTCTGGAACAAGCAGAATCATCAACGCTAGAGCCCGGGCCGCGCACTCGGACTTAACAACATAATCAACGTCTCCGCTCTCGCGAGGCCACGGCAAACACATAGCGATCGCCTGTCCTGGTTTGGACCCCCACTCCTGGCCGTTCTCCCAGTCCTCCAGCGCCCTCTCCCGCAACGCGCGCTGGAACCCCACGGGGACTCTGGGGACGTTCTTGTCGATATCATCTGCGAGCTTCGCCAACTCGTCGCCGTTCATCGTCCTGATGATCTTCGCATTCTGGTCGCCAGCAACCTTGCACCTCTCCGCCAGGTTCAACCACGTCGAAGCCACACTGTGGTCTGGATCATCCGTATGCTTGCTCGCGTTGTCCCTGAGCCGGCGCACCGTGTGCCCCGCCTTCTTCCCCGCCGGCAGTCTGTGGATCCTGCAGTTGTGCATAGCGCGCCTGCGGCCAGTGGTCCAGCTCGATGTTCAGGGCTGTTGGGAACACTAACTTACGTTCCCCCCGTTCGTTTAAGCTTGGCATGGGGTCGGGGCCGTCACCCCGCTGACGTTTTACACAGGTGGCTTAAATTGGGTATGGGACCTTATGTATTGCATTGCACACGTACGTTTACATGCACACGCGTAAGCCACTAATATTTTAAGCGTGCGTGCCGTGTGTTAGTTATGTTGTGTGATACCTTCTTGTATGCTTTTTTCAATGTACCCTTGCATCCCAGAAAACCTGAGTTTGGACCACGAAGCCCTCGCCGTCCTCGTCTCCTTGTCCGTTTCCTCCGACCCCTCCCCCATGGCCTCGCCATCGTCAAAGCTGCTGGCCTTCACGCTGGAGACCACCGAGCCACCGCCACCGCCCACCGCCGACACCGCCGCGCGCAGCGAAGAAGCACCACCAGGCGAGGAGCCCCCGAGCTGCGACAGAGCAGACGCGTTCATCTTCACAAGCGTCGAGGCTGGCGGGCCCCTGGGCTCGCCTGGGTCGGTCGCCTCGTGGACGCTCGCCGCCTCCGTCGGCCCTGCAGCCGCAGCCCCATCGGCCAAGGCCACCACCGATTCCGAAGATGGCCCCGACGGCGGCAAACTCGACGGCGCTGAACCCGAACTCCTGGACTTGGGGGCATCGTTTTTTGCCGCGATTTCCTCGACCGTCGCCTTGTCCTGGATCCTACCAAGGATGTCCTCGTGAGTGGGCGCGTTGAAGAGAGCCCTGAGGTCCGCGCAACGGTTCTCAATCAAGGACTGCATGTGGATAGCGCCCTGCTGGGGGGACAATCTCCGACCTGTAGGCATCGCCAGCATGGAATGGTGGAGCTCCCTGCGGCGGTAAATGTTCACGACGGTGTGCGGCTGGTCAGGGCTCACCTGCACGAAGACGTTCCTGAGGGCGCCGCTCTGGTCCACAATGCTCGCGGGCTTCATGTCGATCTCGCTCGGCGGCTTCTTGTAGTAAGCGATCACGCCGCTCTCATTCAGTCAACGGAACGACCAGACCGTGTCCTGGAAAAGGCCAGATTTCTCCCCCACACTCTCTTCGGACTCCATCTCTGGTTTCACGCCGCCTTGCTTGTGCAGAATGTGGTGCGAGTTGTCAAAACCAGCCTTCACTTTCTCGTTGCTGTGGTACTGGTCGGTCAACGTGTCCCAGCCCCAGAAAGGGAACGCGAACTTGTGCGTCCCAGAACACTTCCCGCACGTACACGCTGTCTCCATGGCATTCGTCTTCTCGCTGCAGATGCCGCAGCCGATATTGGGTTTCTTCTTGGGAGGTTTCCCGTCGACGGGTTGGGGCGGCAGCCCGAACTCCTGCTTCGGGCCGATCTGGTAACCTCCTTTCCCAGCGCCCTTCGAAACGAAGATGGGGCCTGAGATGGCGCGGAGGCCGCAGATCGGCGGCGGCCCCCCCCCATCATCTGGATCATCCTTTCGCTTCCTTTTGGGAGTCATCGAGAAGACGAGACACTCTCTGATAATCTCACATGACGATGTTCGATCACAAATGGCTGTGGGGAACAACGGGTCTGGAAACATTGGTGCTTGACTGTTCCCCGTTCGCTGGGGCAGTAGTTGGGCCATCTCTCAAGACCAAGGAAAAACATTCCCTCAACTGAGATTCCCACATTCGCAACTCACGCAAGGGTTTCCGCTGGTAAACAGGACACGACAGGGAAAGACACAGTTGCAGTGCAATGCATTTGCAAGCCATGCAAAAAGCAACGCAAGCTGTGCAATTTAATGTTGGTGTTATATCCTATCGCCCTATCGCTATATCCTAAAATTGTTCCCCCAAGATGGCCCCTCCAAGATGGCTCCACCAAGAAGCCTCCACCAAGACGGCTCCACCAAGAGGCCCCCACCAAGACGGCTCCACCAAGAGGCCTCCACCAAGACGGCTCCACCAAGAGGCCTCCCCCTAGATTCTCTTTTTTAAAAAAAAATATATATATATATATATATATATATATACATATACCCCCGGACTTAACGTTTCCCCTTTTGGATAACATAGTTTCATATATATATATATACACATTCGCGCATCCTAAATATGAAATCATACCATCCCAGGCAGGCCGGCTTCCCCCCCGTGAAAGTCTTTTTTTTTATAATTGTATATATGTATACATAATATATATATAATATATTATATATAAGAAGAAAAGAAAAAGAAAAAAAAAAAAAAAAAAAAAAAAAAAAAAACAAAAAAAAAAAAAAAAAAAAAAAAAAAAAAAAAAAAAAAAAAAAAAAAAAAAAAAAAAAAAAAAAAAAAAAAAAAAAACGCGGTGTTTTTTTTTGCTCTAACATAACACTTGTTCGCGAATCCCTTGCAACAAAAAAAAAAAAAAAAAAAAAAAAAAACGAAGTGCACACGCGCGCGTCGTCGCGAGCGCATGCCGAAATCCTTCAAAAACCTTCGGTGCCAGAAGGATGTCGCAATCGAGTTTCCAAAAAAAATACAAAAACACATGGTTTCGCAACACTGATGTGCTAAAAAAACTCCCGCGAAATCTCTTGCGAAATCCTAAGCAAACCATGGGTTTTTCAAGACTTGCCTAAAATGTTACCAAACGGGCTTCGCGCGCGCATGTCGAAATCTGTCGAACGCCCTTGCGCGTGTGCCGTCGCGAGAATCCTCTGCAAAAAATGGGACGAAGCGCAGACGCGCGCGTGGTCGCACGCGTACGCCGAAATCCTTCAAAACCCATCGGTGCCGGAAGGATTTCGAAATCGCGCGTCCACAAAACCTACAAAAAACCCAGGTTTCGCAACATGGATTTTCAAGAAAAGCGTGCGCGCGCGCTCTTGCGTCGTCGTCGTCGTCGCCGTCCTCCCTCCTCCCGCGTCGTTGTCGTCGTCGTCGCCTACGTCGTCCTCTGTCTTTCCTCGTGTTCGTCGTTGTCGTCCTCTTTGGCGTCGTGGTCGTTTCCGTCGTCGTTGTCGCCGTGGTCGTCATTCCTCCTCCTCCCTCGTCGTCGTCGTCGTCCGTCGTCGGCGTCTCGTCGTCGTCCCTCCTATTTCGTCGCCGTCGTCGTCGTCGTCGTTGTCGTCGTCGTCGTCTTCCCTCCTCCCTCGTCGTTGTCGTCGTCGGCGTCGCCGTCCTTCCTCCTTCTTCGTCGTTCGCGTCGTCGCCGTCCTCCCTCCTCCCTCGTCGTTGTCGTCGTTGTCGCCGTTGTCGCCGTCGTCGTCCTCCCTCCTCCCTCGTCGTCGTCTTCGTTGGCGACGTTTTCGTCGTCGTCGTCGGCGTCGGCGTCGTCGTCGTCCTCGTCGTCGTTGTCGGCGTCGTCGTCGTCGCCGCCTTCGTCGGCGTCGTCGCCATCGTCGTCGGCGTCGTTGACGTCGTCGTCGTCGTCGGCGTCGTCGTTGTCGTCGTCGTCGGCGTCGTCATCGTCGTCGTCGTTGTCATCGTCGTCGTCGTCGTCGGCGTCGGCGTCGTCGTCGTCGGTGTCGTCGTCGTCGTCGTTGTCGGCGTCGTCAAAATCGTTGGAGACGTCGTCGGTGTCGTCGTAGTCGTTGTCGGCGGCGTGGTCGTCGTCGTTGTCGCTGTCGTCGTCGGCGCCGCTGTCGTTGCCAAGTGCAATTTGGTACCCACCGTCACGGTCTTAAGAGATTTTGCAAACCAAGTTGCGGGTGGGTGGGTGGGATGTTTGCGCGAGCAATGGAGTGGTCGAGCGCGGTGCAGGGTAGTCAATTACGCCACATAGATTTTCCTCTCTAAAAAGAGAATAGGATCTACCCCCCCCCCCGGACTTATCGGTCCCCCCTGGGATAATATGATTATATATATACTCTGTACAGTCGTCCATCCTAAATATAAAATCATTCCATCCCAGCCAGGCCGGGTTCCCCCCCTGCGGTTCCCTTGCTGTTTATAGTATCCTATACATTATACATGTAAAATAGGCGGTGAAATTTTTGTTTCTAATATAACACTTTTTCGCGAATATCTTGCAAAACCTGAAACGAAGTGCACGCGCGCGCGTCGTCGCGCGCGCATGCCGAAATCCTTCAAAAACCTTCGGCGGGGAAGGATTCCGCAATCGAGTGTCCAAAAAAACATACAAAAACACAGGGTTTCGCAACACAGAGTTGCTAAACAAATGTCCGCGAAAGCTCTTGCGAAATCTTAAGAAAACCATTGGTTTTTCAAGACTTTCATAAAATGCTACCAAACGGGCTTCGCGCGCGCCCATGTCGAAATCTGTCGAACGCCCTTGCGCGTGTGCCGTCGCGAGAATCCTCTGCAAAAAAATACGACGAAGCGCAGACGCGCGCGTCGTCGCGCGCGCATGCCGAAACCCTTCAAACCCCATCGGTTTCGGAAGGATTTCGAAATCGCGCGCCCCCCCCAAAAAAAAATCTACAAAAACACAAGGTTTCGCAACACAGATGTTCAACAAAAGCGTGCGCGCGCTCTTGCGTCGTCGTCGTCGTCGTCGCCGTCCTCTCTCCTCCCGCGTCGTTGTCGTCGTCGTCGTCGCCTACGTCGTCCTCTATATTTCCTCGTGTCCGTCGTCGTCGTCCTCTTTGGCGTCGTGGTCGTTTCCGTCGCCGTTGTCGCCGTGGTCGTCCTTCCTCCTCCTGCCTCGTCTCGTCGTCGTCCCTTCTATTTCGTCGCCGTCGTCGTCGTCGTCGTCGTTGTCGTCGTCGTCGTCTTCCCTCCTCCCTCGTCGTTGCCGTCGTCGGCGTCGCCGTCCTTCCTCCTTCTTCGTCGTTCGCGTCGTCGCCGTCCTCCCTCCTCCACCGTCGTTGTCGTCGTTGTCGCCGTCGTCGTCCGCCCTCCTTCCTCGCTGTCTTCGTTGGCGACGTCGCCGTCGTCTTCGTCGTCGTCGTCGGCGTCGGCCTCGTTGTCGTCTTCGTCGTCGTCGGCGTCGGCGTCATCGTCGTCGCCGCCGTCGTCGTCGTCGTCGGCGTCGTTGACGTCGTCGTCTTCGTCGGTGTCGTCGTTACCGTCGTCGTCGGCGTCGTCGGCGTCGTCATCGTCGTCGTCGTCGGCGTCGGCGTCGTCGCCGTCGTCGTCGTCGTCGGCGTCGCCGTTGTCGTCGTTGTCGGCGTCGTCGAAGTCGTTGGAGACGTCGTCGGTGTCGTCGTACTCGTTGTCGGCGCCGTCGTCATCGTCGATGTCGCCGTCGTCGTCGGCGTCGTTGTCGCTGCCAAGTGCCATTTTGTATCCACCGTCACGGTCTTCAGAGATTTTGCAAACCAAGTTGCGGGCGGGTGGGCGGGATGTTCGCGCGAGCAGCGGGGTGGGCAACTCACTGCGAGCATAAATTAGGTCCACCACCTAGGTTGCACCACATCGGTTGCGTCACATAGAGATTGACGTCGGTCCACTCTGGCTGGCACTGATGACGGCGAAGACGACAAGGACGACAGAGACGAGGACAAGAGCGACGACGACGACGATGACGACATGAACCGTGGACGACGACGACGACGACGACGACAATGCCGAGTCGCAGGAGACGGCACCACGATACCATCATTCGTTTACGCGCGCAGGAACTTCGCGCAATGTTGCCGCTCTGTCACTGGTGGCCGCCAGGAAAAACAAAGTAACGAGTATGAGTCAAACTCAGACTGCTGCAAACACCTCATGCTCATACTGCGCCAAAACGCGCACGAGGCCAAACTAAACAGTGGATATGGAACCATCGTCTCTCCGTTTGTTCATCCTCCCTCCGACCCTACGTTCCTCATTGCTCCTCGGTTCCTCCTCGGTCCTACTCACTTCTCGCTCCTCATTCCTCCTGCCTCATGTCTCCACCCATCGTTTACTCATTCCTCAGTCCTCCTCGCCCTCCATTTCGAACCTATCTTCTGCTTACCTACGCGCCTCAACCAAAGAGTCCTCCTGGAACTGCGCGGCGGGGGCAGAGTCTCCCTCAAAGGGCGGCTGGGCGCCGCCCTCGCGCAGCGCATCATGCAACTCTGCCTGCATAGCGGGGCTCGCCACGGGGCCGAACGCCGAGGCCCTAAACACGGGGACCCTAGAAAGGCCGCCGCTGCCGAAGACCCTCGAGGCCAACCTGGGACGAGAGCTGGTTGAAACATTGACGTTTGCGTTATCTTGGTCCACTAAAGAGGCGCCCGCAAGCTGAGACTCTACGACTGTGGGCGCTGCTACTGCTGCCGCAGCCTGATGCCCCAGGGGTGGCTCCACTGGCAACAATGGGGTCGGACTCCCGGCTGCTGGCTGGGGGCTCGGCGCGACGTCGGCAGGCGGCACAACTGCCACAGACGGCTGCACTGGAGAAGGGTGCGCGCGCACGGCCGAATCTACAGACTGCTAAAAAGGCAAAGCCTGCGACTCATTTTTGGCAGCATCATGTCTTACAGGCCCTGTGACCGATGCGCCAATGAACTCAACTTATGATGAACCCTCTCCGTCGTCACCTGTCTGTTGTTTATCGAGAACTCATGACGCCTCTGCGTCGCCAACTGCCGTA